TTATTTTTAATGCATGCCAATGATAATTAAACTCACTTTTTGCAAGGCAATAGCTTTAGGTGTGACAGCATTCTCCACTTGTACTGATGTTTCGATTTGCGGCACAGAATCAAGCATTATTGATATTTCATAAATAACAACATAAGTATCCTTAGTGATGGCTTTTGCGGAGGAAGCTGAAAGATCGATTTAAACGGAGAATTTAAAGCCATATCTAAGCCGTTATCTTGCAAAAAGTAGAGAGGTTATGAGGATGATCGAGCCTAAATTCCGTTTCTCACCGTCGCTGTATTCGCATTTGGCCATTATTTCATCCCCTTGCGGGTTTTAGTTTAGGTCGCAGTATATTCAATTCTTCCCTTTTCAGCAAAATTTGGTATCGAACAATTATTGACGTAATTGGGCGTACAGATTTTTACTTGATGCATTTCGAAAGCATTTAACGGGTTATGGGTCTGGAATCGTTATGTGACAAGCAAGTTATTGTCAATAACGCGATAATCAATAAAGCGATATTTTGCATGTAGTTCTGGAGGCGTTCAAATGTCATGGGACCCTGGACTGCCTAAATGGTTCCTAGGCATTTAGAGCAATAGACTGGTGTAAGACACTGCAGTACAGTTTTGAAGGGGCTTCGCTTATCTTCCTCTTTGATGCACAGAGAACTCAAAATTCGCGACGTAATCGTTTCGACAGATTTAATACCTCATAAAAGTTTTATTCCGTCAGTTATTCTCTCCCTGTTGACTAAACGTAATGTGTGTCGTATAGCATAGTTCCTATGCAAATCTGATATCGAATTGAAGTTGCCAGGAAGGACTCATTTTTGAAAGGAATAGTTTCGCATAATATAGTCACAGGTTATTGTTGATCCACTTTCTTGCGCAGTTACTGCATCACGGCACGTGTGAGTCTTTCCAGTAGAAGAACAAGTCGCAGTAAACGGTAAACGTGGGCAAGCAACGGGACAGCGATTCAGGCACAGAAAAACAATGTAGTACATGGACTCCGCGTGTGTGTCTAGGAGGGTCGATGGCTAGTGCGCATTCGACTGAGGCGGTACGTTCACCAAAGCAAGCGGTTCACCTTTCGACATGTTTAACGGACGCGTCCCGTGCTTCGCTTTGTTTATGTTCCATTAAACAAACTTTTCTTTCAGATAACCAGATCAGCTGCTGAAAGATATGATCGGATCTGTGTAGACGGCGAAACAAGTAAATTTTCGCGACCGTTCCTCTGCAGTGGCACCCCACCATACAGCCTCTCGAAACGCTTCCACCACGAAAGGTCTCGTTGCCTGTTATCCGTGCCAGCCGTTGGCCGTCATGATCACACCTCATTAGTGACGTAGGAAGAACCAGCCGAAATGAAATTGTGTCAGGTCGGAAACAGGCAATCACCGTAGCGATATGCGTTAATCTGACTATTAATAACCGCTCCTTCACGGTCCGCCTGTCGTTGTCCATTCGTTTGGTGTTGCAACTGTTTGCACGGAACTCCTCTTCTGTAAAGCTGTTCGCTTTTACTGACGGGCCACTGCAGCACTGTACCTCAATTCCTAATCGATAACGACTATGGCTGCTGCTACGAAGGTGAGGATTGTGTTAACATCTGTGATTGAGTAGTCATTGCAACATTGACAAACGTCATGAAAATACACGAAAGCATGGCTTATCCAACGCAAAAATTTTCCTTTCAGTGTCCAGCTGTCGCGGACCTTTCGGTCCGTATTTCAAGTGTATCCTTCTGGATCGAACAGCAGTTTCAGCTGTGGTTAACGACCGCAAGCAGCACGAATTTTGCTTCGATGAAGAATGTCTGTTACGTACAGACTGTGGTGGGGTACACCATTGCTTTGAGCTGGGGTCAGTAAATCAATTTTGCCACGTATTCAAAGCTACGACTGATCGATCCTAATTTGCGTAAATGTTTCAGTTATGTGCCTAACGTTTTCTTCGTTATTCTATCTCCTTATTTTTGGCAAGTTATCTGTTGCCGCGATTACAGAATTGCACCGTCGCTGCCTTTTTCACTTCTGGAGTATGTGTCTATATACGGTTGCAGAAGAAAGTTAACTCTTAAAAATCTTTCCATGCCTATCAGTGCTGTACTATGTTCGTTGTTCCCCTCGATCTTGTAAGTCCATAGTGATAACACTAATTAGAACCACTTGTCCCTCGCATTAGGCGAACCGTTCGCCATTAGGTTTACGAAAGTAAGAGCTGCCGCACCTTACTGCTTTCTAGTAAACTGGAGTTGGGACCGTTTTGAGTTTTTACCACGTAACTTTGCCTTAAAAGTTACAGCTTTTTTGATCGTAGATGCCCCGAGGGCTGTTTAACCAGCTCATGACACCATAATATTTTAGCGTCTGCGGTGCATAGATGCCTATCGCCGTGTATCGTAAAACTCGGGTTTTATGAGTCAGCCGTTTGCTAACACGCTCCACATACGAAACCCATTTTCAGAATGTTTTCTCATATAGTCAGTTTAACTTTTCTTTCAAATGAGCCTCAAAATGTGACTTAGGCATTCAGATAACGTCGCCTCGTTGTGTCATTAGAAACAGAAAATCAGTGAAACTCAACTGTTAAATTATTGGCGCTGTACGATAGTGTCATAAATCTTACAACCTACTTGTCAGACATCACGTCCTCTCACGACCTCAATAATAACAGTTGGTTGTTACGGGAAAGTAAAGCGAATGTGGAAACGGACGAACCTCGGAGCTAAGTTTAACCATCTAATTGATGCAGATTCCTGGCTGACGTTGAACCGAATGGTGACTTCCAGCCATATCGAGATTAGAGGGAAATTAACCTTTTGCTTCATCCCTTCGAGTGGTTCTGCTGCAGTGAGGATCCATCCCTCAGCCGTTTGGAGAATTGTTTTCATATGAGGATGACACGTACGACCGCTGGAGGAAACAATTTAACTTTCCATTAATACATAACCTTGACAGAGCCAAAATCACTGTCTCTAACTCCTCAACGCCGCACTGCCCTTTTATTTTGTTTTACGAACGCTAGATCCCATTCATGCTTATCAGCAGTATGTTTACCTTGTGGCGCTATTCTGGCTGGACAATGCCATTAATGAATCAAATGATATAGACGCTGGGAATTGTTTTGGCTTCTTTAAGAAATGAGAACATGGTGGTGATGTCGACGAGAACAGTTTCATGAGGAATCTGTGTGGCGTGCATTCAGTACTGCGGCAGCCGATAAGCGCAAATTAGCTAAGTGTTTCGCAGACATTTAGATCATACTTTTGTCAGCTGGCGATTGGAGAACGTACGAGACACCAAACTGATGTCACCAATTTTTCGGTAGATTGTAGAGTGAGTGAACTTGAGCTTGTTGTCTGTATTGCCAGCATTCTTCGGCTGAAACGATCGAAAAACTGAATTTTTGATCGCGTCTCGCATTAACAAACTATCGTAGTCCCAATGTACTGGCGACCATGCAAAGTGTTTGCACAAGCCCAAATCAGCACTGTTCTAACTCGTATCATTAAGTTTGGTAGCGATTAAGTCGGGAACTTAAAACAAACATTTTGTACCAGCATGGCCCCACCTTTATCGGACGGGCATTCGTCGGTTTTGGATGCGTTCTTGATATTTTAACGGGTAAAGATCAATAGGACGGTGTGATACGCCGTGAAATCTGTCTTGTTCGACTTAGACGTTATGTGGCATACTTCGGCGAATGGGCATACGTTGATATTGATGAGGAAGCATACAAGGAGTGCGAGTTCCTGAGATGTTGTTCGTAATGAGAGTAAGGTGACTCTCACGAACAAGGTATTGCGAGATGCATCTGGTACTGCAGGTGCTCAAATGTCGTGGAGCATGGCCTGATAAAATAGTCTGTTATGTTACTAGGAGCAAGTGGACAGTACAATATGCCGTGAAATCCTGTTTTGAATGAGTTATGCGTTATTTGACATACTCCGGCTTACGAACTTATTTTTATGTTTATGCCGTGACGATTGTGGTTAGTACAAATTAATCAGGGTGTTGAGTAGCACCAGAAACTTGATAAAATTAAGTCTACTTGTGACGGAAACGTTACGAATAATAATTTACGTGACTCACAAAAAGCATAATCATAGTAGAATATCACTTTGGCGTACTTCGAAACGGACTATATGATTTTTTTTGGATTTTGTATCTACATAGATCTTTAATTTTCCATATGCAAGCAGTAATTATAGTTCGTTTTCAGAATGCAGAAAAGGTCATATCGCTACTCTCTCGGGTACTCAAGCCCAGTCAGATATCAGTTGCCACAGCAGTCAAGGAACATCACAGCCATGATGAGTCGCATTTCAAGTAATTTATGATGCAGTTCGATTTTAATACCTTGTTTCCAAGTTACGTCCTTATGCAGAGAAATGCTTCCGGAGGCAGTTACTTTCCCGTCTTCCGTGGAAGAAATTTCGGCCATTGTGAAACTGTGCAATGAACATAGGGTACCCGTCGTTCCATTTGGAACTGGAACAGGACTAATTGGAGGTGTCACTGTTAATCGGGTAAGTTCTAGAATTCTGTCTTCATTGGTGAAAGAAGTGTTCAACACACCACCAAAGCTTTAAATGAAAGGAGCAAACAGCAAACACCTTTACAGGTAACTGTATCGCACGAACTTAAAAATTCTCCAGCTTCAGCAGTATCACCCCAGCTAACTCCATATCGTCTTAGTAGCGCCAGACGTGTGGCATTAGCGTAACTGATTAGTGTTGATTTTGTGTTAAATTTATCTAATCAAATGGACCGGCTAGTGTTCAGCGATGATTCGCGTCTCCCGCACCACTTTATGCTGCCATAGCGCCTGAATTTTTTTCACCCGTTGACAGGGTTGACGGCCGCCTGGAGAGTTTCGTACAGGCTGGTCTCCCAATTCCGTTAGGATTTTGTCGAAGTTGTCTGTTCTGTCCTATGAAGAACCGACGTCTAACCATATAGAACATCGATGACATTAGCACTCTTTCTTCTAAGGTGTGAGGCGCTTTGGTCTCGTCATGAGACTGTTCACTAGGCATTGTGACATTTTCACTGAGGATCGAACTTGTCAAGCTCGAATCCAGCCACGTCCTGGTGGTTTCGCTGACGCCTGTCCGCGAATGCTTGTTTTTTGCAGCTAACCTCCATATTTGGAGATAATTGCCCTATCTATAATCCAGGGACGCCCAGTATGGACAGCTGCTGGTTAAGGGTGCATCTTTTAAAGTATCACCAGTTATTCAGACTCGATTAAGAAAAAAAATTGGGTTGCACTTTGTGTCGATTATCAGTTGTCAGCTACCAGCTGGATCAATGCGAAATGCAGCCATAAGTGACGTTCGCATCTGACAACATGATCGTACACGTCCATATTTGTATGATCATACAAAAATGCCATACTGTCCTTATATTCGCGAGTCATCGACTTACTACTAGTTTCTCGGCGGTTACGCAAAAGCAAAAGGAGGTTCAAGTGAATTCGCGGTCAAAACCAATATTGTCGCTGTAATGGATTCGAACTCGGCACCTACGGAGTTTAAAGCCGGCTTCTTTGCCACAGTGCCATTATGCAGTTATTGAGATGTCTTCAAGGCAGCGGTAATCGGTGGTTCAAAATCTTTACTTAGTTATGAAAAATTTGTCTAGAATTAAGAGACATTCTGACTACCTGATTCTAATGCTATGGGAAACATGTGGAGGGAGAGTTACCGTACATATTGATCCTCACAGACAGCATTCTGAAATAATTTTATCCAGGCTGCTAACCTTCTGAACAGAGGCTGACGATTCATGGGGTTTAAGAACGGAATACCTGGACAATGCTTGATGATAAAAAATGGAACTCTAGTAACATGATTCATGCAAATTGGATAGTAGGAGTGCGGGCAGTAGCATTGTACAATCATGTCGTCATTCCTCTGAACAGAAGATGGCATTTGTTATTATTATTATTCCATATACCTTTTAACGACAGATATTGAGCAGCATTCTACAATAAAACGTATGTTTAACGAAATTCTAGTGGAATGCTTTTTCTTAGGCTAAACTTGGTTTTTCACTAAGTTGAATTTCGTTAGGTTACATCAAGAAGTCGGAATCTGAAGAAAATATTTTAGTTTCACTTAATAACGCGACCTTAAATAGTAGCTCTATATGGAATTTTAGGCTAAGAGACCCTTGCTCCTTTATGCGCAAGATTAATCGTAAACGTTACACAGCGCTAAAATATTAATTATAAAAATGTTTGCTAAAAGTTGACAAAGAGAATGTTTCTCAGTTGAAATGGAACTGAGATGTAACGCCTTTGTTGCGTTTAGTGGAGCAAATCGAAGGAGCAGATTGCCGCAGTAAGTTATACTATTTCGACTCCATATCCTGAGAAATTAATAATCGCCATGACAGGTATCAAGGCATGATTGAGCTGAACAGTGGGTAAAGAAACTCAACCAATCAAACAGTACGGTTGATAGATGAATCCTTCAACATAGTGAACAATCCTATAAATTCTGGAAACCTGTTAACTAGTGATATTCGATCTCAGTACGTGATTGTACCGCCATCACAGGGAAGAGACATACGCTAAACGTGACTATATGCTTTTAATCGGTGCTATTTTCCATGATTTGCCAAATATTGCCTTGAGCAGACAAAAAATATAACACCAACGGTAGCTACAATGAATAATAGCTTTTGAATTCGGCCGGCAAATATTACATCTGAATTATTATTATTATCAGATTTACACAGCGAAAACGCATCGTGCCCCTTCTTCCAGGCGCTCAGCAGTCCATATAAGCAGGTCATTGCTTCATACTATTTAAGCGTCTGCAGTACATCGAATGCAAGACCGCTTCTCTGATTTGAGCTGAAAAAGATTATGTTCTAGTTGCAACAAAATTTTCCACGATCCGTAGGAAAATACGTAGACCAACTAATATAATATATAGCCCCAATGCTCTGGAACAGCTATCACAACTGCATTTTTCTAGTTAATTGCTTACATAAATGACCCTTTAAGCGAATATAAGCAAAGGCCGTGTAATTTCGTTTTGTACGAACTTTGTTCGATAATTTCTGCCATTCGAACAGGAACGCTGGATGATGCTTTACGCATAGCAGTGAAAGTTTACAAGCGGTGCATGTCACCGATGTTTAGGGTACTCTGTTTTTAGAGTTGCATCACGGTCGATGTCAGTCAGATGAATCACATAAAAGCAGTTCACGAAGACGATATGGATTGCATCGTTGAGGCCGGAGTTACGAGGTTGCAGCTAAACGATCATCTACGCGATATGGGGTTGTGGTTTCCCGTTGGTAAGTTATCAGAGTGTTAGTTCGGCGAAATGTTTACTGGACCCACGTTAACAACGGTCTAAGGTATGAATGTGTCAGCATTGCGCAGTAGAAACACCCGAACGGTCGAATTCTTATAGAGTCGAATTGATCGCAGTTTAATTCTACACAGTTTATGTAAAGCACCAGTTGCGTATCTGACCCTCTCCTTGCTGCTTGTCACTTTATGGCTCAGTGCATAAAAGATCGGCTTCAGATTTTGGCGTGGTCGGTTTTGATTCTATCCTTCGGAAATCTTTGCCGTAAACACGAATTCCTTTGGACGAGGAATAGACTACGTTTTTAAGTCGCGTCAGACCAGGGTTGCTCAGTTGTTAGAGCATGTTTCAGAACCGAGAGATTCCGGGTTCCAGGCCCAGTCGAGGTCATTCGCCGTTCTTTCTCCTGACGTGTTAGATGTGTACTATTTTGTTGGAAGGAGACAGGAGATTGCACGTAATGTTTGCGGTATGTCTGTGGACTCTGCCTTTAAAAGAGTTAAAGCACTCCTGGAAACGGAGACAAGGGTCGCAACCACTGACTTAATGAAAAGAAGGGCGCATGAATCGTCCCATCATGCAAGTGTAAGGAAGACAGACATTGCAATAATTACGACTTTCCTTTTGATCGGAAGCTTCCATATTCAGTCGACGCAGTTAGATACACGGTTCCACCGCCTTTCGGTTACAGATAACATCGTCATGACCGCGTTGTTCCACGAAAATGTCATCCAAATACAAATCAGTCAGCAAGATCGCAGCATTGAAAAGTGCAAAAATTTTAAAATCTTTGCTTCAAATTTGGATGAATTTAATGTTTAGATGCTTATAGATCCTGGAGCGGATGCTAGCCTCGGAGGAATGTGCTCGACAGGTGCTTCTGGAACGAACGCTGTCAGATATGGCACGATGAAAGAAAACGTCAAGAATCTGGAAGTAATTTTGAGTTCCGGCAAAGTAATTAACACAGCAGGAGAAGGCAGAAGGACAAGGTGAAGTTTGTATTCAAATTGTTTTTTGTAATTGCACTATTCAGAAAATCAGCCGCCGGCTATAACTTGACCAACTTCTTCGTCGGCTCTGAAGGGACACTGGGCATAATTAGCAAAGCCACACTACGTTTGTTTGGTCTTCCTACGAAGGTAAAGTAGTTTACTGCAAATCAAGTTCTATCGAATGCGTATGTCTATTTCTTAGATACTTAGTGAACTTACTCGAAAAAATGTGCACCGATGTTAATACATGTCGTATATTTTATTCGCTGTTTAAAATGCAGTTCAATTGACATTTCAGACAGATGTACCAGAAGATCATAGCTAAGCACAGCGCGTTCCTATGGGATAGCCACCAAAATATAGAGAAAGTAAGACTAACAGTGTCAGAAAATCTAGCGTATTTCAACGCTGGCGGGTGATAACTTTTTCGAGTCGAAACTAACCTTGCGCATATCCGGTGTTAATTATGTAACAGCAGAGAAACTCTGCTAACGACGGACGATGACTACTTACCACTTGTTTGCAGTGAAAGGCCCAACAACAAACTATGTAGCTTCTTGCATATCTCTACTTCACTTTCTTGAGATGAGAAAATGAGAGTTTGCGCAGAATAGGAATGTGTTAAGCTTTGTTGAGGGAGCAAGATATGCAACAAGTGAATGCGTAAAGGACTCTTCCAATAGTAGGTGATGTCACTCTAGCGACGGTTTAAGACTAGTGGTACCCAGACAAGGATTATTTATTGCAACAATGCAATTTAGATCTGGAC